TCCCTGAATTGCTGCCGTGGGTTTTCCATTCCGAGTGCTGGGAGTTCAGCAATGCAGTGCAGGGAGCGACTCAACCCTCCTTAGTCCTCCTGCTCTGTAGTTACCAGGACTTGGGGGATTTATTGTTGTGCTCAAAGGTGGTTTGATCACGGGGGGGTTAAGCCTGTGCAGGGGTGTACGTACATCCTACAGCCATACAACAGCTTGTAAAGGGCTTTAGAGCTGCCTAATGGGGGGTTACTCCTTGGTTTCTGCAGGGGGGCTGCGTGTTGATGTGTCTCTAGTGAGGGAGTTCGCAGGGGAGGTTTTGCTTTAAGTCTTTTAAATCTGTTTTTTTTGGTTCCTGAGCTCTGAGTGACACCATCTTATCCCCAGGGACCTCAGAACCGCTGGCTGTCTTTTATCCCAGTGGCCAGTGCAGTTGGAATGAGTGTGATTCCTCAGACCTCCCATGCCCCTAAATAGAATTGTTTGCTGATTTCTGCTGGTACATCTGAACATGGCATATTTTGTGTGGGATGGGAGTGTTTGGGCTTCACAGCCACCAACGAGCTCAATGTCTGGCCTAGTGATTCTTTATTATTTGGAGTATAATGCGAGGCAAGAACCTGGAGATGAAAACCTAACTGTTTATGAACCTGTGAAAATGGATCTGCAGCAGGTAGTAATGAAATCTGGGAGAACATATGGAAAAATAAATGAGCTGCTCTGTTCAGAATAGATTTCTTACACGTATAATGATGTTTTATTTTCTTTTATTATTTGCGCAAGCATAGCGGGGAACAGGGTGGCCTTTCAGCGATTGGCACGGATTTTTTGCTGAACTAATTTGCTGTGGGTAGAGCTGTTTCTGAAAGGCTATTAATTCCAGCAGAAATCCATTTCCCTGTGCCTGCAGTCGGCTGGCACCTGGTGCAAGTGCCGTGGCTCCGCATCGCCTTCCCTCCGCTTCAGCTAACGCGGCGTGGCAGCTCCTTCCCCTCACCGAGGGGGTTTTACGTGAAACAATTATACCAGACCCGTGGAAAATACTTAAAATACCATCTCAGAGCCTGTTTTGTGACGGGAGGGCCCTGCCCCGCGGAGCCGTGTCCCGCTGCATGGGGAGCAGGAGGCGGCGGCGCCCACGGTGCCCGCGGGGACACTGCGGAGGAGGTGCTGCACAGCCCCCGGGGTGACAGCTCTGACAGCACATCACACACCAGCCTGTCACACCCACGGACAGCCTCAGAGTGCTCACAGGGAGAAGGGGAAGATGGAAAGCTTTGGGGGGGTTGTCTTCCTGTGCAGGGCTGGCGGAGTCGGCTGTTCAGATTTGCTGAAGGGTTGTGCTGAGCGTCACTGCTCTGGTGTTCCTTGATTAGAGGGAATCAAACAACTCCTGTTGCCCTGAGGCTGAGATGGGCAGTTTGTTTGCAAGAAGGCTCTAAAATCCTTTGCTGCATCGTAACCTGTAGGAGCTGGAATTGGCATGTGTGTGCTTTGGAAATGGGGGGTTGTGCTGGGACTCCTGAGTAAGAACAGCAGTGCCCAGAGGCACCTCTGCTGGAAGGGATGTGTTCCCAGAAATCCACTGCTGTCCTGGGCTGATCCCCCAGCGTGGGCAGCAGGGCAGGGGGATTCTG